ACCAGCCCTTAGAGCTCGCAAACAACAGTTCAGATGCTGCAAGCCTTCTGCATGCTCCATGAGGTTTCTCTTGATGGGTGCGAGGCGGGTCGGGAGGGTCCCAGTGCGGGATTCATGGAGTCTTCGGCATGTGCCAGGCTTGTCGGCCCGGCGGTTATAGGTGGGACTTTCCGAAAACTAGGGTACCTTATTTTGGGGTCCTTATAATAAGGATCCTACTATTTGGGGTGCTACATTAGGGTCCCCTATTTTCGGAAACCCCCAGGTGGAAGCTGCTGTGTCACGCGCCTGTGCTTCATTCTGGTACCAAGACTCATGTGGCCAGACCTGACGTGAAGATACTTCGTCCATCAAACGTCGCTCAAAGTAAGCCCGGGCGACCAGCTGCCGGCCTGCCGCTGTGCCTGCTTATTTACCGAGAAGAATAGTCTTCCTCAAAATCCAAGCTGTCAGTTGTTATGTTTGCTCAGGCAGAGGCGGCCTTGTCACTGCCAGCGATGCCAGACTCCGAGATTGTAGTCCTGCTCGAGGCCATTGACTGTTGCCGAGCACTCTATAGCATCAATGCCGTCGCCTTTTGTCTTGCAGTGTTCGTGGTGATTCCCTTCATCCGCGACTTGACTGTTTGATTCTTCGTTTTCACATGTCTTGGCATCTTCGTGCCGACCCCCTCTCCAACACCCCCTCCGTGCCGCTCGCCGTATGGCGGATGCGAAGGTCCAGACTGTAGGTCGGCGGTGAAGGACGCATTTTGGGCCTTCTGGTAGCTGTGTCAATGTGAGGCTTATTTGTTTCATCTTAAACATTGGCATCGTTGAAAGCTAGTTTGCGGAACTGAGCTGTTCGTTTGCATACGTAGCATGCTACCCGAGCAATGCCGAGCAATGCAATGTCCGCCCTGCCTTCTAGCTTCCGGTTGTCCTGCTAAATTCTGGTATCCGGCCGAGTGAGCCTGTGAAATTCCATCACCGGAACTGCCAGAAGTGCTCCGCCAGCCCTCGCCGACACCCGACAGGTCGCGGAAGTGACACCTGCCCGCTGCTGGTTGGAAGCCGACGAGGAGAACGAGGACTGGAGTCACAGCGGTGCAACAAAGCACAGCCAAGCCAAAGCCTTTACGGCGTCGTGTTCCTGGTCATGGGGCCTGATGGTGGCTTCCTGTGCCCCGTCCTCGGCCAGCCTCCACCCTGTTCTTGTCCTGGGCCTGTCTTTCTAACTATGTCGATGATTCAATTCTGCACATGTGTGATGCGTGAGTGTACGTAGCGGTACCATGGTGCATCAGAAGTTGAAACATCAAGACACAAAAAGCAAGTAGTCATGCTGAGTCAACTGCCTGACGCTGCTCATAACACTGGGTGCAGGATCAGGGAGTGCTTTACTCTGTCGTCTATCCGGAGGACTTAGCTCAGCTATTTGTTGCCGATTGGAGCTCGGGGTTTCATGTTGCGATCATTCGTTGCGAAGGGTGGGGTGCAGGATGTTGAGATTCAGAGCCAAATCCAGGTGTCCAGGGATTATAATTATAATATATTATATTACATTATATTATATTTCATTATATAGCACCGCTAGCAGGGTTGCCAGACTTAGTCATGGGTGAGCTGTGCCTGCTCGAGGCTTGCCGACAGCAGAGCTTCTCTGGCCTTCGAGAGAGCATGCTGAAGCTTCTTGACCCCCGAAAGTTCACCCATTTCAGAGTTTTGCAAGGCTGTGGACCGCTCTCCGTGCTACTGAGCACCTGAGACAAAGAGATTCCATGCTCTGCAAAGCGCTGCTTTGTGCCAGGAGGCATCTCTCCAGCATCTTTGGCCCAGCCCAGAAGCAACGACCTTGCCGAAGGACAAGAGTAGCAGTTGCACCCATCGTGGTACCAGACTCCATCCGTGCGGAAACCGTGTGTGGAATCGGAAGTCTTCGTATTCCATCAATTTGGCACGAGTTCGGTGCTTGAGGACTGAGTTGATCGAGGTTCAGGATTCTTGCCTTCCCCACCCCCCTCTTGGACGTCCCACCCCGTTCAGGAGTTCGTGTTCCTCCTCGACCGTTCTGGCTCCATGCAGGTTGGAAGCATGATTTGTCGTTGGCGAGGGTATTTGCAAGCAATGCCGACGACATAAGCTTCCGAACCTTGAAACCCACTTGCACCCCTGCCTAGGGAGCGCAGATTCAGAAGGCCGCCGTCGCACTGCAGCTTTTCCTCAGGACGGAAAGGGAGCACCACAGAGAAATGAAAGTCAGAGCACTGCAGATCCCACATTATCGCCTTGGAAGTCCACCCCTGCACGGAGAATTGTGTCAAAGTCAAGTGGGAGTTTCCGAAAATAGGAGGTACCTTGTTTTGGGGTTCTTATAGTAAGGATCCTACTATTTAGGGTACTATATTAGGGTCCCCTATTTCCGGAAACCCCCAATTGTGTCAAATTTCACGGTCCCTCACAGCAGGAGTCTGCCCCTGGGATGTTACTTCGACATCGTGGGCTTCGGCTCCAGGTGGTCGCCAGGGCCCCGAGATGCCTCGCGCCAGGGAATCCCATTTGAGCTTTAACAAAACCCTAAACCCTAAAACCTTAAACCCTACAAACCTAAACCCTAAACCCTCAAAAACCTAAACCCTAAACCCCTAAACCCTTAAACCTTAAAACCCTAAACCCTGTTTCCTACTCCAGGCAGAGGGTCTGAGACCAATTTAGAACACGTCAGACCAAGGCGCATGAGGCTCCAGCCCTGACTCCTAATGCTAAGACGAATACCATTACGAATAGTAGTAATACTGTTACTAATGGTAATACAAAAAATAATACTATTACTCTAATGGCAATACGGAATCTATACTATTACTATTACTATTCTTAATAGTAATGCTGTTACTAATCATAATATGAATACGTATACTAATATTAACAGTGAGAGGATCATGGGCCACCCGACCCTCCGCACGTCGAGCGGCCTTCTCTCCGAGGTCTCTCTTCGGTGGCAGCCGGCCCTACAATGCAGAGACACTGCGCATTGTTCGCCGGCTGAGTTTGGGTTTAGGGTTTAGGGTTTTGGGTGTGCTGGGTTCAGTATGATGCTTCAGATGTGCTTCGCTGCAGAACAGTTTCACTGTGCAGAAGAGCTTTGTTTCCTCAAGCCTCATCCAGGTTTTCCGTGAACTCGGTAACTCCAGCCGAAAGGCAGTCCAAAATGCGCTGCAGTTCCAAGCGATCCATCGAACAAAAAGCTCCTCCCCAAGTTCTGCCTTAGATCCAGGCGAGCGAGCACGTGCAGCATGTCAAGGCGGACCTGGGAGGCGCTAAAACTTGATCGGAGGGTTTAGGGTTTAGGGGAATAGGGGTTTAGGGTTTAGGGTTTATGATTTTGGGGGCTTCTGAGAGCGGATTTGTCGGAATCCGAAACAGAGAAAAGCTGAAGCCACAGAGAGCGCTCGCGTCTCTGCAGGGACGGAGCTGATGGGGCCTTTGACTGCTCTGCTCAGCCAGCCCCCACATGCTGGCTTCGAACGCCGCCTCGTCCTGCCGCTGGACTTACGCAATACCTATAGTCTCCATTGTAGTTCCTTGTTTTGGTTTAACCAATTCATTCTAGATTACGGATCCTAAAAACGTAGCCCCAAAAAGGAACTACAATGGAGGCTGTAGGTATACTGATAATACTGCCGCCTTGGCTAGGCTCATATAGGAGCCTTAATGATTAGAATAGGGTTTTGGGGTTCCCTATTTTAATGGACCTCCCAAAACCTATTTTAGTTATTAAGGCCCCTATATTAGGCTCTGCCAAACTTGAATGCCGTCCGGTAGCAGCGCAGCAAAGGCTCACAGATGGTCAAGTATGCAACACGGCAGCTGTGCTGGAGTTCGTCCGCGACAACGCCACTTGCCATCTCTTGGGTGATGCACATCGGGCTCAGGTACAGGGAGGGGAGTGGTGGTCTAGCGCTGCGACCTGCTTCGGGAACCGGGGACAGATGGAGACAAGGAGACAACCAACGGCGCGCGCGCGCGCACGCGCGCACGCACAGGCATGGACTGCACAAGCACACACAAGCACGTACACACACAAACACACACACACACACCCGCGCGCGCGCGCACACACACACACACACACGCACCCACGCACCCACCGAGAGCGTGACTGAGACACAGACACGCACGAATATCTTGCTCCAGTTCACGGATCATGGATACTTCCTTTCGCCCGCGGCTGTCCAAAGGTGAAGGCGACCAACATTTACACAGCCCCTTGGACTTCATTTCCACACAAAACTTCCGAACCGGGACTAAGCTCAGGGCTTCTTCAGGGGGCACTCTTTGACGCTTTAGTTCGTTCGGAAGCTCGCGAGGCCGAAAGAGGCTAGGGGCCGCTAGGGCTAGGGGCATTCCCTCTACAAAATAGCCCCGGCGAAAGAAAGGCTAGGGCGGAGAGATGCTAAGAGCCTTTTACGGGACCGCCTTATAAGGACGCTCTCGGTATTACGGCGGTTCGGTTCTCTCTGAGGTGGGTATTGGCAATGGCGTGTCGCACGAGCTTGTCGAAGGCACGCCAGCTCGTACATGAGGCCTTTCCGCCCAGTTCCCCCAACAGCCAAGCAAAACATGGAAATGCGATGAATCTTGTCCCTCGCACACGTTTTGATTCCAAGACTGGAGTTCACGAAACCGATACCTGAACCTCCGAACCCCGAACCTGTGCTTTATAGCTTACGGCTTCCGGTTGATCACCATACTAAAATGCTGACGTTCGGTGTGCCTCCAACTATGCCTCCTTAATTCACGTTGCTTGCCGTTGGCTTCACAGCTTGTTTTAAACCGTCTTTGCAGAGCACATTGGCACCATGTTCACTCTTCTACTAGAGCTAATTTGATGCCGATGCGTGCAGTAATTTAAGCATGGACCTGCGTCATGCCAAGAAGTTGTTCAGTTTTGATCATGGTAGTTTTAAAGCGCCCTTCAACATCGAGGTCTTCCAAGAAGTCCTCATGTGGGCCCTGTGGGCAATGGAGATTTTCCGTCCGAATTGCAGCGCGGCTGTCCGCCACCAGGTCCGTCTGGAGGTTATTCTGGCTTTGGTGCCAGCTTTGTGCACCCTCTCAGTTATTCTCGCTGCTGTCGCCGGCGAGTTGAAGAATTCCAACTACACTGCCGTGTTGCTTCTGCACGCTGTCCTTATGCCTGTCGTGATTGGCATCGGTGTGTGGATGAAGCTTAACAACTCTCTCCATTCTCTCGCTCACTATCTTGAAGACGCGGGACGCAGCAATGACCTGTTGGTGGCATGTTCGTGGGCGCCGCTGCTGCTGTACTTGGTCCCGATGCTCTTCATCGGGGATGCGAGCGGGCTGACAGACACATACATGACTGTCATTGGCTACTTCTTATTGTACGTGCCAGTGCTGGATACGCCATACTACTCGCTTGTCAGCTACGCTGCATACTCCTGTCTAGCTTGCATCAGAATCTTGGTCTTTGTGTTGACGTGTTTACATTCCGGAATATATTGTCAAACCGGCAGTGTGAATCTGAAGCTTGTGGTCTTGTCTGATATACCTGCGTAAAATGCTTCTGAGCAGATTTCCCAAGAGAGTCTTTCGCGCTGCCGAGGAATCCTGCAGCTGAGACCCTTGGAAGGAGTTCCCGTGTCCAGGTTCTTCATGCGTACGGTGCTTCTTGGCATCTTCGGCAAGCTGGCACTGCGAATGAGGCTCTGGCATCTCAGCAAAAGTCGCACGGCTTTGACGCCACAGACTCTACAGATTCTTGGGCCTGTAGCTTTGAATTGAAATTTCTTCCGGATGATGTGACTAACTCGAAGCCCTGCATTGGCGGAACGACGTTTCTAAGGAATGCCGCCGCCGAGCCTTTGGCGTGTGGCGAGTCGAGCATGGTTGCGAGCCGGGAGCCCTACAACCCGATGCACGCGAACCTCCGACGTCGTCCTCTCCAAGTTTGCCCTGTGTCGGACACCTTGAAGGGCAGCAGAGCGGCTAGCATCCACCTCAACATCCTGAGGCCGAACTTTAAAGTCAGACTTAAGATGTGGGGGGGCCTGCAGGGGGGTCCTGAATGAGAGACATGACATCCCGACTTCAGGCGTAGGCGGCAGGACCAGGAGCTGCTGATTGGGCAATTTCTTTGGGCCGTTCACTTCTTCCGGGCGAGTACAGTTGCTCCAGACAGCTTGGCGCGCATCCTGTCTTTCGTGGACTGCGCGAGGCGAGCCAGCAAAGCAGTTCAATATGATACACCCATCCATCCCTGCATCCATGCATCTATCCATCCATAGTTAGAGTATACCTTGCCTATTTAGGCTAATAATGCCACCGCCAACCCATTAGATGATCATTCCTAGGGTCCCCCCTCCATTTCACTGATATATCACTACTACTTCCCCCATTAGATGATTATTCCTAGGTTCCCCCCTACATTTCACCGATATATCACTACTACTTCCCCATTATCAATACAATTNNCCCATCTATTATCTCTAAGGTGGCATCATTAGCCTAAATAGGCAAGGTGTTTCTCGTAGAATTTGGTTCAGGGTTTGGGGTTGCGGCGAGCCTGGGATTGATTCTTTCTTTTCGCCGCTTTTTGCTGCAGCTTGCAGGTTCGAATCAGGCGACGAATCAGGTAGCGGGATCATGCTTGTCATCGGGCATGTGAAGCCCATAGACAATCCCTTAACAACAGCCTGGGCTAACACTCCAAAATTTCTGAGCAAGTGAAGTGCGGTGAGGGTTTGTGCTCACTGGTGCGAGTTTCCATGGCTGACGGCCCTGCGCAAAGCGGGCCTCTGCCACCCGCAGAATCTTGGTGGGTGCTAGTCAAGAATGCTGGTGATGAATTCAGGGTTCAGCGCCAAGACCTACCTGACCGCCCAACGGTGTCTGACCTCTTGCAGACAGCGCTCGCCGTGTCAAATGTGGGAGTACCATTGCCCAGGCTGAAGTTGTACAAGCACGAGAATCTAGGAACCCCAGTGGTGCCCTTTCACCGTTTTGGGTTCTGGGTTCTTTAAAAAACATACCAACAGAAAGTACCCTTTTGATATGGCTACTGGGATACCTAGGAATGCTCGTGGCCAAGGTGAACAGCAGCTTGCTCCCCGAACCTTGCTCGATGAAATCTGCACAGGTAGTGATGCACCCCCTCTCTTTGTCGACTATGAGGGCATGCCAACCACGTCATCACAAGCCCCTCGTCAAGATTTCCATCCAAGGGGTCCCTTTCGTTAGGCATCCCTGCTTAGCCCTGCTTGCTGGCCTCCCCAAACGATTCACGCTCAAACCGTAAGACTCATACGTCGTGTACCCGAGGCAGAGCAGCAGATCATGAGTGGCATCAGGGACTTGGCTGCCGAAGTGCGAGCCAATCGGGAGGAAGTGCGAGCCAATCGGGAGGAAGTGCGAGCCAATCGGGAGGAAGTGCAAAATGTGCTGCAACCCATGGCTCGTGCGCTGTTTGGATTTCGGCCAACAAGCAGCGCGACTTTCGACCCGACTTGGGAGACCAGACTTAGCGAGTACTACAACACCACGTCATGCATGATCTTGGGCCAACTTTTTCCAGAGTGTTTGAAGCCAGATCGGTATCATGGGTTTGGCCCGGACTATTTTGAGCCGGTCGGGGAGCACATGTACAAGAAGGTGCAGGAGCTTGCAGGCTACGAGCTGGGCATTGACACGACGCATCCACGCAACGGGCTGTTGATAGTAAAATCTCTGGAGAAAATGTTTCAGGAAGCTCACATGGTTCTAGTCCCCACAGTGTCGGAGGAGGATGTCAGTGAGACGGACTGCCCAGATTCAGGTGATTCACCAACAGAGCAGGTCAAGCTAGAAATCCTCATTGCTAAAGAGTTCCTCGGGCAGGACGTGCTCTGGATAGACAAGCGAAGACATACAACAGCTCCGTTTCAGCGACCGATTCTGCAGGGCAAAGGAGGAAGCAGCAAGGGACGGCGGCCTGTGCAGCCCATCAAGTTCGCAGATTTGCACGCGAAGCAAATCACGATCCGGAAGCCCTACATGGCAAGTCTTTACATGCAAGCGATCTATGCCAACCACCGACATTCAGAGCTTCCTCACCCGGATGACCAAGAGCTTCTTCCGAAGTATCGCAAGAGATGCCCGAAGGGCATGGAACGGCTCATGATACGAATGTGTCTGCTCAGCTCTTGTTCAGAGAGGCCCGTGTTGACACAAGATGAAGCCTTTTCAGGAAATCTGTGAGGTTTCGTCTCGCTGCGCAAGGCAGTAAGTTGGCTTCTAGGGCTGCTGGTAGGGAAAGCATATGCTGGAACGTTTGCCTGCAAAAGTGCATTTCGGAAGGAGATTGCATTTGGCAAACTTCTTATCGTCAGGCCTGGGAGATAGTGCTTTGCAAGTCCCAAAAAGATATGGCCTTGGAGGGAGTGCGTTGAAACCACTTGTAGGGTTTGGCTGCAGGCAAGTCAGGTACCATAGGGTAGACAGGAGCCCTGAAATTCATGCGCATGGTCCCACCAAACTCTACGGGACACCCCCGTCAAATTCTGCGGGGCAGTCCCGTGCGTCTGCAAACGCAGGAAAGACAAGTGACAACAAAAACCTTGGAAACACCTTTTACCAAAAAACATGCAGTAAACAAAACACATAGTAGCCAACATAACAACTACAAGTTATGAGTAACTCAAACCTCGGGGTATGGGATGGTTACAGCCATAACATTAAAGGTGTTAATGTTATGTGTGTTTATCTAAACTAGATTTTTGTCACTTTGATCAAATCACAAGATGTAGCATGTACATTCATATGCTCTTCGTTCAGTTTTGACTTTTTCTTTATCCCTGCAATACATAATATCATCTAGCATTTTTGCAAACAGTCGGTATCTCGTATCAGCTTATCAACGTCATATAAGAAACACAACTCGTTAGTTCCAGCCGCTCTTCTAATACTTTTCGCATGTTGTGCACCGTTACGCAAAGCCGTAGATATTAGCAAGGGTGTTTTCGGGCAGTGGCAATTCGTATAGTGTGCAGCAGCGATCATGTTTCTACAATCCTTGCATTTTCAATTACCTCGCTTTTGCCTGCGCAGTCGCCAGCCGCAACAGCATCCAAGAAACAATTATTGATTTCTTCCTGTTCTTTTCGGTGAACATCGCACTATGAATATCTAAGTGTTGTCTCAAGAAAATTGTTTTCAAATCAACAACTCAAATCGCAAATGAGCCCTATCAATACCTTCAACATAATAATATTT